TCAGCGTACGTTGTGAATACCGACGACGCAGGCCAGCCTGGAAAACATTGGACAGTTTTTGTATGCGAAAAAGACCATTGTGATTTCTTCGACTCGTTTGGATGTTCCCCAGAAGTGTATGGCCAAGATTTTGCCGACTTTGCGAGGCGTCAAGGACCCTTACGTCACAATACCCGGAGGATTCAAGGAAATCAAAGTGCTGTCTGCGGGCATTATTGTTTCTTTTACTTGTGGCATAAATTCCACGTACCGTCACCCCATGCTTTATCGGTGTTCCAATCTAATCTGACCGAAAACGATCGTTTAGTCCATGCTTGGGCCCATCACTATTTTCCTTGTTTGTCTTTTGAAGATGGCGAAACATTTTTAGGATTTATGAATGACAATATGTTAGAGTTAATGGATTTAAGTTGAATTAATTAAAGTTTAAAAAAATAAATACCACATGATCTTTTTTATCCAATCCAAAGCCCTTTTTCCAGTTTCCCGCCTATAAAAAGCGCAGTCACTTGTCTTTGGCCAGTCATTTGCAACATGGCAGGTTTGACGGCCTTTTGTAGAATGTTTTTTAATCCACCCTTGACGGTTTCTTTGCCACGGTCGACTTTCAGCACTTCCTTTCCAACTTGGGGTAGGTTATCTTTTACAGCTTGTTTCCAGCACTCCATAAATCAGCAAGTGATGTGGGAGAAAGACACGAACGACCAATAAGCCGTTGAAACCGGTGCCGATGATGCTGTCGTACCCGTCGTAAACCAAGCGTTGGGAGCCAGAAGAAAAAGGATGGGTGAAAGTTCAGTGTTTGAAATGCAATCCCGGCTACACATGGATTTGTGTTTTTTAGTAGTCGGGGTCGACGTTCGCATCCAATTGGAAAGACAGCAACCAAAATGGTGATGTGGTGGGTGAATATTTCACCCATTTTACACATCAACAAGCCACGACTCCCTATTTAGATTTGATTTGAAAAGATTGGGAATATTAAATACTAAGGAAGATTTGCATTTGTCTTACAACGACGATATTAAAGGCTACACACTCTTTGGATTTGATTTGACCAATGACCACGGAGCTGATCAAGCCAATTTTCATCCCAAGTCGTCAGGAAGTTTGTCTTTGGAATCGAAAATACTCCACAAAATCCACTCGATTTGCTATTATTTGCCGAATACGATAATGTCTTGGAAATCGATGTCAACCGCCAAGTTCTGGTGGATTGGTAAACCTCTGTATACTTCACAGTTGGAGGAAGGATTGGCCTGCCACATCCCTGAACAATTTGCAGGCGTGTTAGCCAGAAATCAATTACAAACCTTACAGCCAACACGCTATCCCTCAGCGTACGTTGTGAATACCGACGACGCAGGCCAGCCTGGAAAACATTGGACAGTTTTTGTATGCGAAAAAGACCATTGTGATTTCTTCGACTCGTTTGGATGTTCCCCAGAAGTGTATGGCCAAGATTTTGCCGACTTTGCGCGGCGTCAAGGACCCTTACGTCACAAT